TGAAGGAACTCACAGCTCTGATAGTGTTTGGGCAGAGCAGAAGCTATGTGAGCTTTAGAGCTGGAAAATCAAAGTAATTACATATAACAAGTCTTTGGAATAACTCAGCAGAGCTTTTGACAGAGAATGAAACAGAGCTTGAACTGTGGTTCTCAATGAGACAAAAGTTGGTGAACTAACCTCCTAACTGTCTACTAAGTACATGGCATGGTATAAAGGAAAATGTCTTTTCTTCTCTCTATGTACATACCAGTAAACTGAAACCCTGAACAATTAGAGGTGGAAAACATCAAGAAATATGCACCAAAATGGTTAAGAAATATTTTGCTTTCTTCCTATGGAAATGACATAAAAATTTGTAATCTAGTAACACAAGACCTTCAGAATGACTGGTAATGTTCCTTTTCTTTTATAATTTTGCACAGAATAATTAGATATAGATAGAACAGATCTTTTTAAGAAGAAAATCTTTTTGTTTAAAATACACAGCTCTACTGAAAGTTATAATGACAATACCTCTGTTATTTAGGCATTCAACTAAAAATTTAGAAGGTTTAAGTGACTTTCTTGTTTTATCCAATAAAAATAATCCTTAAAATATTTTCATTTGTTAGATGAATTTTGTAAAATAAATAGCTAAATTACCTACTTTGAAGATCGTGCTTTTGAATCTTCTTACAGGTAGGCTTATCTGTATTTTATGCAGATTTCTAAAAGTCATTATTTTATATAACAAGTCTTATATAGGATAATTTAGCAGCCAGTTTAAAAGAGACCAATATTTATGGTAATGTAAATCAGAAACAATATGGAAATATCTCACTGTTATCCCTTTATGCATGATGCACAGAGAGATATTATCATAGTTTCTTGAGTCTGGATCCCACTAGGCCACTTTCTAACAGTTTCACAAAGTGTTCTCAGCCAGCTACATTTGTTTGCAAGGGACACTGAGGCCAAATACCTTTCAGAGGTCTTCCTGTACTAAGGTCAAATCATGAAGGTACCAGGTTATCCATAGCTCTAGATTTGCTCGAGACAGCATTATTAATGTATTAATGATAATAAAAAATATCCCACAGGTCTATACTGCTTTACAACCTTCAAAGATGTTTCATGCATATTATCTCCTGTGTAAATTAATGTACCTACTTAAGAGAACTTTCTATTTTGCTGTCTCTTTTTAAAATTTTTACTATGTAGATTGAAGGTATACAACATGATGTGTTGATGTACATATATACAGTGTAATGATCAGTACAGTTAAACAAATTTAAGATATCCATCAAGTTAAAAGCCAGTACTAGAGCAGAAAGACAGAGCACCATACCTGAGAGCAGAGAGCTATTTATCCAGCTCGTTTGGTCAGTATGCCTGAGTGACTTGGAGAAAACAATGTACTTCTTGTAAGTACCCCATAGTCACTTCGATTAAGTGTGGTCATCCCTCAGTAACCCAGGTACTGTATCTAGGACCCTTGTGGATAGCAGCATCCTTGGATGTTCAAGTCTCTCCCATAAAATGATGTAGCACTTGCATGCAACCTATGCATATCCTCCTGTATACTTTGTCACCCCGCGATTACTTGTGATACCTAATAAAATGTAAAGTTTGTTTAAATAACTATTACACTGAATTTTGGGGGGATAATAACAAAAAAAGGATCTGTATATGTTCAATATGAGCACAATTGTTAAAAATCTTTTTGACCCACTGTTGGTTAAATCCACAGAGACGGAACTCTAGGGTATGAATGGCCAACAGTACTCTGTATTTCTTAACCGTACCTTCGAAAAAGCGCACAGTAAAAATCTGGACTCATCCCTTTGATCTTTCAGACCTGGGGGGTGGTGCAAAAGGATTCAACTGGAGGGCAGAGGGTTGTTTTTATTTTTAGATCATCAAAAATACTAAACTGTTGGTCAGGGTGATCCATGAAGAAAGAAAAACAAATTCAAACTATGACTAACAAGGCCTGCTGTGCATGAGTCACCAACGAGGCAGGCAAGGCCTCTGGACACAGGAGGAAAAGCATTTAGGAGTCACATCGTAATAGAGTAGCGAGCCCTGTAACTTGTTGGTCTCTTCACGGAACTATTTCGACACCTGGATGGAGTCCAGGAGAAGAGAGGTCAGGCATCTTAAAAATTGCTTCTCTTTCCTACCAAGAATGTTTTCAGTGACCTTGAGGAGGGATTAAAGAATGACTTTCTGAGGTGTGAACATGAAAAGAGTAGAAGTTTCAGCAACATCGAGGAGAGTGTTTGTTTCCAAGTTTCTTCCTACTTCTGGAAGGAGAGAACCAGTTTTACAAAGGAAGAAAACAGCTATCTTACAGATTTCACTTATGTAAACTGAAACAACACACAAAATACAAAATAACATAAAAGTATATTGACTGAACATGAAAGTTTCCAGTCTTTAGCTTTTTATTTTTTCCTGGCTGCTTTGTTAAAATTCAGGGGAAGTACAAAATTACATTTCAAGTTGTTGGATCTTTTTCTTATCTAATTTGAGTACTCATAACATATTGCACTTCTGATAAAAATAATAATGAATTCAGTTGAAATTCCCAACTTAGTTTATAAATCTGCAAAGATATATTTCTGCTTTGTCATTTTCCCATAGAGAGCAGTCTTCTTATGTGGGGAAAATATCACCATACTTGATTTTACCCGAATAGTTTTCCTAGTTAAGGTAAACTGATACATAGGGACTTAATTGATTTTACCACAGGGATTGAGACTAGTAATGAGGATAGAGAATAAAGATTCAAGTAAGAAACTGGACAGACTTCCACTGCCTAATTGCTACAGAATATGTCTGGTGCCAGGGAGAGTCAACCACCTGCAGCTAGGAAGAAAGGTGGTATATATTAGTGCTCCTCTTCTCCTGGCTAGTCTGTGAAAATCTTCGTGTGGGAAAATAGTAAAAACACTTTCTCCAAATTCCTTTTTCTTGGCTTTGTTCCTTACTTTTGGACAGAAGAATCTTTTCTTCAAGATTGAAGGCAGTCAAACTCGGGCTACCATGGTCCCCAACTCTGCACCTCCGAATGAGGTTAAGGCAAATCATGGGCCAATTTCTTAATTGTCATTCACTCCAATTTCCCTCAAACTGGCATTATTTTTCCCTCATGCAAATAGTTACAATGGAAGAGTAATCACTGAAAAAATGGCAGAGTACTCAAAACACAGTAAAGGAAGAACTGCCATGTTAAAGTGCTATGCCCCTAGTAACGTTTCTCAGTTATTTACTTTGTTCATAGTTGGTTAATTTGTTAAGGTTATTGTATCAAATCAGATCTTTGAGCCTGTGACAAAATACTTGTGAAAATCAATTTAAAAAGAGAAAATCTTTTCACAATTTTGGAGGTTTCAGTCAATGGTTGCTTGGTCCTGTGGCTTTAGACCTCTGATGGTTCAGTACTTTATGGCAATTCGAACGTGGTGGAGGAGGGTATCATGTGGTGGCAGGGAAGCAGAGACAGGAGGGGGAGGGGCCCTCAAAACCTTTCATGGGTGCAGCTACCAGACTTCCTTCCACTGGTCCCACCTGGTGTTTCCTACACCTTCCAATAGTGCCAAAGCCGGGAGAAACACTTCAGATCCAAACAATAATTATCATTGCTGTTCTTCTTTTCTTTCCTCTTTGTATTTATTCATTGACTTAAATTTGCAGTTCTGGTGGATTAAGCCAAGGGCCTTGACACTTGCTAGGTAAGCAGTCTGTAGCACTGAGCTATATACATAGCCCTCTTAAAGCATAATTTTATTTTATTTTGAGACAAAGTCTCTCTAAGTTGCCCAGGCTGGGCTTGAATTTGGGATCCTCTTGTCTTGGCCTCCCAAGTAACTGGGACTACAGGTGTTAGCTGCTGCACTCAACTTATTTTTGTTTTCTCATGATTCCTCATTTGTTCACTTCTAGGACAGGGAATGACCAAGGAACAAAATAATTAGAAGCGCAGGCTTGTTGTCAGACCACCTAGGATGTAAACTCTAACTCTGCAGCCTAATAGGTGTTGGGCTGTTGTCTTTACCATGGAGTTAGACACACTGGCTGACTAATGAATAAGCACTATAAACTAACCTGCCCAATTCTGTACTAATATAATGTTGATATTCTAGCTCTTCAAGGACATTTGACTTTCTGGTTGAAGTAGTCCAGAATTATTTATGTCATGCCTCAGAGTTGGAGTTGGCTTCACAATCATTTTGTTTGATAACGATTTAACTTTCTGATATGCACTTAGAAAGCAACAACAGGTATTATACAAATAAGTCTGAAAGTCTACAACCCCTCAAACTTGACAGGCTCTGTCTTCAGGCTATAAGGGACATACCTTGGAGGATCCACACAGGATATCTTTCATTTCTTGGATTATGGGTTGCTATATCACAAACCAGCCCCATACTTAGTGGATTAAAACTAATTGTTCATTAATGACTATAAGACTGTGGATCAACTGGAATGTTTTGCTGATTTGGGTCGAGATTACCTGATGATGGCTGGTTTGGCTCCTGTGATCAACAACTTGACTGGGTGCTGGTTGGTCCAGAATAGCCTTAGTCGCATGTTTGTTGGTTGTTGTTGGCTCCCTCTGGAAGCAGTGGTGACAAATGGCCCGTGTGTACTTTATCCTCCAGCAGGCTACTAGCTCTGGCTTATTCATGGAAGGCCATGGTTCCACAGGAAAGAAAGCCACAGTGTGCAGGAACTTTGCAAGTCACTTCCCAGTCATCCCAAAACACATCACAAGCTGATGGAGATTCAAAGTGTGGAGAAAGATACTATTACTTAAGGAATAGGTCTGAAGATATATTACAAAAACATAGGAACAGGAGTAGAAATTTTTTTTTGACACTTTTGCAGTCTACCACATGTCTTTTGATCATAAAACTAATACTTTCCCCTTCTACTGTACAGATGCAATATATTAGGAAATCTTTGACCTACTTTCTTTTTTTTTTTTTTTTAATTTATCCTGACTTGATCAGGTGTCTTCTGGGTCCATTCAAGAGAGTGTGAAAGACCGAGTGATTGACTCAAGATTGCAGCTGTTTATCACCAAGCCAGGTCTCTACACCTGCATCGCTACCAATAAACATGGAGAGAAATACAGTACTGCAAAGGCAGCAGCGACCATCAGCATAGCAGGTAGGAGGGGCCTGCAGCTTTGCTCTGAGAGAGGAGAATTGTTCTATTCCACATCTGTTCTTGGGGAAAATCTTTGATTTCTTACTCAGATCCACTTTGGGCTATTTTCCCCTCCACGAAGACACTTCAGAGATGGCCTAGATATGGATGCTGGCTGATTTGTTGTCTGAAAAGCTTACTGCTCCAAAATTATCCAAGTGTGGAATAACAACTTCTAGGAGTTGTGGTTTGTCATGACTCAGCAGTTTATCCCCACTTCTTCCAGCACCAGCCGACAACTAACTTCCTTCCTCCAGCCCTCCTACACTCCCTCTCTCTCTCTTCCTTCCTTCCTTCCCTTCCCCCTTCTCCCTCCCTTTCTTCCTTGCTTTTTCCTTTGTTTTCCTCACTCCCTTATTGCTTCCTTTCTTACCTCTTCCCTTCCCTCCCTTTTCCTTCCCTATCTTCGCTCCTTTCCTTTCCTTTCTTCTATTTTCTTTCCCTTCCCTCTCTCCTCCCCTTTCTACTTTCTCCCTTGTACTGAGTTAACTAAACTTGCCAAGGCTTTCAAATAATAAGTCAGCAAACGTGTAACCTGATTGAGCCCATTTCTGCAGGGCTGTTTCTCAAGCTGTGTTGACCCTGAGCATGAATTTGTGGGTTTTTCCTTTCTTGTTTTATGCAAATGACCACAGGACTTACAGGTATTTTCAAGAAAAAAAAAGGCTGACAAATGGATTTTTAGGATACTTATGTTACATTATAAAGGTTTATTTTTAAGATTTAAATGTTCCAAAGGCTTTGGAGAACATTTATGGAATTCCTAGAGATGGAAATAATCCCTGTATCAGGAAATACCAGGCTTGTTATATTCATAGCAGGCTCAGCAAAGAGGTGCTTGGCCTGACATGTAAGGCAAATGCTGGTAGAAGCTGAGCCCAGGGCTGGCTCCCTAGAGGCTGTTTCTCACTACAGTGCCACTCCTTTGATCTTCCCTGATGGAGAACTCTCCGGTAATGGCAGTGATTTTTATTGTGAAGTGAATAGAAACATATACATGGCACCCCGGACATGGTTGGCCTTGCTGGGCTATGGCCAGGAAAGAAAAAAAAGACTCCCAAATTGAAGTTCCCTTACCATCTCCTCCAGGGGCAGCTCTTGTTTCCGGTATGTTTAGACATCATATCAGTCATAGGAAATCATTTCTTCCAGAGAATGACAAGACTCCTAAAAGTACATTACACAAATAATGATAAAGCAATTACTATTCATGCAGCACTTTGCTGTTTATAATATACTTTCACATGCATGTTTATTCACTATGCTGGATGTGGACTATTGTACTGGCTATAGTAAGCAATGAAAACAAATGGGTTAATTAACCAACAGATCCTTCATTCCAGGAACTATCAATCTAGAATAGAGGTTTACTCTTTTACATCATGGTACAGACTATGCTGTGCTGTAGAAATGTAAAGTACAACAGCACAGAAGAGAGGGGGAATTTAAGGGAATCCTTAGGAGGGCTACCTTTTGAGCAGAAGGTGTGGTTGTAAGATACAGAGATTGAAATGCTTCCAGAAAGCAGCAAGTCTGTTGGCTAGAGCACCAAGGAGACTTCAGTGGGGTGGAAGGTGGGAGGAGAGGATAGAAATACGGGCTCTGACCAGCTTACAAAAAGGTGGGTAGATTTGATGTAGTATTCCATGAACAAGAATAATGAAATTATTAGCGGAAACAAGTGATACGTTAGATATATCCCTTAGCAAATTAAAAGGTGAGAAAATGTCAGAGAGACAGGAGGCATTGCAAGCAATTAGGAGACTCTTCCAGGAGTCTACCACAGTTGTAATGCTCTGAACAGCAACAGTGATTTGTACATAGAGAAAAGGAGATTACTCTTGGGACCCTATAAGAATAAAAATAAGATTTGTAAGTATTGACTGTTACATCAGGATGGGAAAAATGTGTTTGAGATTTTGAGCAATGTGTGTACAACAAACAGTAATGCATAAATGAAATAAAATATAAGAATGTGGAAAGGGAGTAATAAAATACTCAAAATTTCAGATGCCTTTGAATTATCTGGAATTAATCTAGTCTTACCATCTTTGCTTTACTGTATCAAAACCTATTAAAAGAATATTTATCTGTATCAATTTCTCAATATATCTTATGTACCTATTTTCAAGTGTGAGAGGGAGAAAGCACATTTACATCTGAGTACTTAAGTAGTAGCACATAAACTTAAAAACCTGATTTTTTTTAACCTACACTTTCACTGAATGGAGGAAAAAATCAGTAAGAGAATCTCACTTCCTATAATTTTTCATTGTTCAAAGATAATCCCAGGCCAGAGCTCTTTCTCCCCTCCTCCTCCTATCTCTCCCACTAGATGGTAGGGAGAATAGGATTTGTGTCAGTGCTGTGGTGTCCTTTGAATTCCCCTAGTCACCAGTGACATCTGCAGCTAGGGAACTTGTGATTTCATCTCTTGGCTTAGCTGGGACCCAAAGGGCCTCTCTGACTGACTCAGCCCCTTCACGTCCCTTCTGGTACAGCACAGTGCTTTGCATCTCAGCCAAATCTGACACCAGGCCTCTGTCTAGAGTCCACTCTTCAGCCTCAGCCATGAGGTCACCCTGTCTGTCTCTACTATGGCCCTAGAGCAAGCCTGCTGAATCCTAATTCAGCTCTCTCTTTATCCCTCATGGGGCCTAAAGAAGCTTCTGGATCCCTTTCAAATTACACAAAAATCAAAGGAAAAAAAAACTTGCTCATTAAATTCTGCTGTCTACCCAACCATGTCATGCTATTATGTTTACACTGATGTTGTAACCAGGGGATGTCAGGGTACAGGGTCCCTGGAGGTGTTTTCCATTTAGTATTCCAAATATGCAGTTTAAAACTTCTCCTTTGTTTTTTCTTTCTTTTTTTTTTTTTTTTTTTCTTAATTAATCACTATGTCTATTCTAAGACTTTGGTCCTGAAAAGAAATTCTACAAGACATATATCCAAATTCTTCATCTCTCTACCTTCGTCCTTTCCACAAGTTATCAAGGTGGAAGGATTGGTCAGGGATTCTCCCTCTAGTGTGGTAGGTAACCTTCAGATCCAACTCATGATAAGAACAAAGATGGTGGTGGAGGTCGTGCTATGGCCAAGAAGGAGGGGAGCCTAGTAAAATGGTTATGCCTATTCTACACAAAAGTGTATTTATCCTGTGGGCATGAACTTTAAGACTAAGAGCACGATTGCCATGACAGTATATATAACAACCTCATCTCTCCACCCTGTCCTAGTCCAAGGGAGAACCTATCCAACTCCTTTAACAAATAGAATACACCAACAGAGAAATCTGTAGTCCTGAGAACATGATGGTATCTTCAGGTGGTACAAAGAGCTTTAAGGTGTGAGACAGGCTGCATAAGAAGGCATTGTCCTGGAGTAAAAGATGAGACCAGTCAGCAATATTGCATGGGAAAAATAACTGGAATTTGCGTGGGGGAAGGATAGTGGGAGCAGTGCCTAGGCTGACATGTAGCAACAGAGGACTTACAAACTGCTGAGCAGCAGAGTTGAATGCAGATGAAAAGCAGTCATCTCAGTAGGTGACAGTGGTTGTGTAGACTGAAACCAGCAATGATTTGACTAGTCAATGGGCCTGCCAACAGTATTTATGGAGGTCAATTTTAGAAAAGGAAAGAGGGGATTGAGACCCAGAAGTGAGATTAGAGACCACCCTAGACAAGGATATATTTATAGTGGTCACGAAAGTGTCATCAAGGAACTTTGGTACAGCGTACAATACGAACCTTCAAATGAAGGCCTGGAATCTTGCCCTCTTTTGCCCTGCATGAGCAACACTTCAATCTGCCTGCATATAGGATCATAGTATTGCAGTGTTGGGGATCAAATAAGGAAGTAGGAGCTTAGACAAAACCTGGAAAAGAAAGCTTAGAAGAGCTACAGTGTGTATGATAAATCATACACATGTCTGTGAATCAGAAATTTGCTAGATTTTTAGTGTTATTCCCAGCACTAATTCATAAGAATCTCCAAAACTTCTTTTTTCAATCCCTCATCTGTCTTTCTGATTGGGTGTCACTGACTCTTAAGGGATCTCACACCCTGCTTTTCCTAAAATTCCCCCAAGCAGACCTAAGGAGGATATTTTACATGTAATCAAATAGGACCTCTGAGCTACATGAGACACCAGCCATTTTCTCCTCCTCTCTTTGACCTACTCTTGTCAGTTAAACCTGCTGAATGCCTTAGGAAGTTATCCCCAAGGAAACTACCACCCAACCATGGGGTATCTCTAAGACCAATATTTCAGAGAAGTGAAACCAGTCTTTTGAAAAAGGAATCTGGAGTATTTTAAATAATCATGATCTTATTTTCCACAGAGCTCCCAGGACTTGGGTATGGCGCATGCTTTCTTCATTTTTGCTTTAAGCTCTCTTTCCTGTGACCTCCAACAAGGCTGCTCAGAGGTCCAGGCTTCTAGCAAACATGGTGCCTCCTCTTACCCTTCTGGCAGTGCTTCTTGCCCCAGAGTCTGCCATCTCTCATTTCAGCCGGACCCGTGCTTCCCTTGTGTTCTGTGATCAGCAACCTCCTCTGTCACAGCCTATGTTTCACTTGGAAGATTTTACTCCATCTGTGTGTTTATTCAGCCCAGCAGGGAAACTGGAAATTGGAAAGAGCTGGTCTAGTGCTTAGGATTATGTCTAATGATATTTCTAGGGTTTAAAGGACAACAGAAAATCAAGATTGGCCCAAACTGCTTCCATGTGTCTGCCCAAATCCCTAGGCATTGTTTGAGAAATGTGATATATTTCGTTCTGAGTCATTTACATTTGTTGTTGGTCATCAAAAGGAGTTAGAAAAACTCTTGGAAACTCTCCCTATGAATGAGGAAGTTGCATTTCCCTTCCAGTCACAACCCCAGTGGCTCAAGTTGCCATCTAAACTCACCAGGAGGCTGGGTATTTGGCCATTTGCCTTTCTTTGTGATG